GGCTGACTGAAGGAAGAGCAGAGTATGATGGAGCATGGAAAATGAAACGCCAAAAGATGGAAGCTGGACTGCATGGATGAATTCTGGCAATTGAATCCCAAGACAGAGTATGTTAATACGAAAGGGTTTAACTTTGAAAACTGAAAGGAAAACCTGCATTATGTTTCCCAAACATAAAGGAGCTGCAAAGCTAATTAGGACAGTATTGACTTCTTATGCTTTGACATGTAGAAGATATTTACTGGTGTCTCTGGTCAGAAATCTTTCTCAGAGCTTCATCTAGCTCCACAGACTCAGCCACATCTGTACAGTGATAGCTGTTGGTTTCTGGTTCCTTGTTGCTGGGAGGGGTTTTTTTTCTTCAGTTATCTGAAGATGAGAGCTATCTGAGGACTTTTTTTCAGGGTACAGTGCTTCTGATGGCATCTGGGTTAACTGAATCTGGGGATTATATATCTGCAGATAGATTACTTTCAATTCTCCCCTCCCCTTCTGATCTCTGCCCTTTCAGGCATTCACGGCATCCAGCATCCTGCGCACTCACATCCGCCAGCACTCGGGGGAGAAGCCCTTCAAGTGCAAGTACTGCGGCAAAGCCTTCGCCTCGCACGCAGCCCACGACAGCCATGTGCGGCGCACGCACAGCAAGGAGAAGGGCTGCACTTGTTCAGTGTGTGGCCAGCACTTCCCAGAGCAGGAGGATTACCACTTGCACATGAAGACTCACAGCGCTCATTAGTCAAGAGCCCCACGAACGCACCATGGACTAGCTCATGTGTGTATCTGTCTATGTGCATGTGTTTGTGCACGGTTGTGTGCACACCACAGGAGGTGAACTTTACCCTCTCAGTGACTCTTTGAGTACATCCAGGCTCTCGATCCTGGGTGCATTTTTGAGTGCAGGAGACAGGAGTTTATCTCACCTGGGTACCCTGATGCTGCACTGGGGTGAAGTCCAACATGTACTACCCCAGCTTTCCCTTCCACTCCTCACATACCCTAATTTCCACAAAAGGGAGGAGGGAATTTTGTGCATGTGTATTACTGTGAGTAGAGTTTCCGTGCCTCTAGTGCACCTCATCTATGAACTGCTTGGTGTGGTCCGTACCAAAGCTCACATGAGGGCCGTTTTTATCACGTGTATTTCCCAAAGCCCATTTAACCTGTTTGTTTTGTGTGGCTGCATGACCAGGTATGGGGTCTACTTCCCCTCAACGTGCAAGTCTTTTAGTGTCACTCTATTTGAATGTGAAATGCCTCAAACATACTGACTGGTGGACCAGCGTAAGCTATTTAATTCCTTCATTCAGCTGCCAGGACATGGGGAGCTCCAGGGCAGTGAGACTGCCTCATCCAGAGGATGCTGGACCCTGATTAGCCCAGGGGGAGAGGGGCAGGAGGTGACAAAATAGCTGCATGTCTGTCATGCCAGCTAGCAGAGGTAGTGGAGGTTGTCTCTGCCTTTTCATAGTTTAGAGGACCAAATGTGAAGATATATCCAGGCATCAGCGAGTGCTCAGGTGGGTCATAAACAGTCAAGTGGCCTGAGAGGCATTGCACTGTGGACTCAGCACAGGCCAGGAGCAGGCATGATCCCACCCCCAGGCTTTTCTGTCTCAGTTTCCCTGAACTGTCCTCCTGGCCAGGTGAGACCTGACATGAAGGGCGGGCTCCTCCACTTCCTCCTCCTGGCTCTATATAGGATGGCTGCTGTAGTGACACTCCTCTTCCCTATCCTATAATCAAGATTTAAAGTGTAGGATAGGTGATGCTAGGACTTCTCAGCCCCTAAAATTCTGAACGTGAAATTTCCTCCCCAGCCTGCAGGGATGCCTTTGCCTCCATGGGAAGACTGGAAGTTTTCACCTTCCACTTCTCACTGATCCTGCAAGCAAGTTGGGGGTGATCTGTGCAGGTTTTCTGTTGTTTTCTTTTTAGCAAAGGGGAAGTATTTGCCCAGAAAAGTGCTGTGGTTTGGTTTTTTTGTTTGATTGTTTGTTTTTTTCTATAGAAAGAGCTGCTGATTTAGATATGGATGAGAAGATGTATTCTGGGATCCTTTTCTTGAAGGCTCTGCTTTTGTTTCTTTTGCACTCTGACTTGGAGAAGGACAGTAACACCTCAGACATCCTGTCCTTTCATACCAACAAAATCTGGCCCAGATCAAAATTGCCTCAAGTGCATATTACGATGGATAAAGGAATTTCAGTGTACAATCCTAGGTGATTAGGCCTTGATTTTTGCAAAGTATTTTCAAAATAACTAAACCCTTAATGAAGATGTATAGATGTCTAGATATATCTAGATATACAGCACTGATGTAACTGGTGTGGAAGCCTCTTATCACTGAGTGGCCAGCACGATGAGCAGGGGGCTGTGCAATTGAGAGGGGCTCCCTGTGTTGGTGGGACTGTGTGTTGCATCCAGGAGGGATAATGGAAGCCCTTGCTGGAGCTGGTTGATTAACAGATGATTTGATGTTACGGGAATTACGACGTTCTCTTAATATGCTAGATCAGGTAGGATCAATAAGACTTTGCACATATGAAATGTAACTTTTTTTGTGCCAACCTTAACAACCTCTTTAAATGCAGCATAGAACTAGAAAAAATGTTAGCTGCACATTTAATTATATCATGCAGATACTGTGTCTATAAATATCTACGTTGATTTGCACTAATTTTATATCATTTATTGTACCTAAAGTTGCTCTCTCCTCACTGTTTTCATAGTAAAAATATTTTAAAATGTATTTATAGAACCACTTGTAAGTAAAATATTGAGGCCCAGCACTAGGCAGTATCTGAAATAAGCAAGCGATTAGCATTGTACATACATGTAGGTTTTAGGGTAGAATGAGGATCATGTTTTATTCTGAATTTTTTTTTCTTATTTTAAAATAAAAGATTCCTCTAACACGGCAGGCTGAATTTTGTACATATTGAGGCCTCTAAATAGGTAGAATCCACTCCTGAGAAGAAAATTATCACAGTATTTATGTATACAAATCATGCTGAAGTACAGGTGGAAGGACTGAATCCTGCTTCCAGCTGCCTGTCCATATGGGGGTGTTTTTCCCCAAACATGAGAACCCTAGCCAAAAGACATGTGATGTCTGCATGTGAAGGCATTTGGTCCCATAAATAACTCGGGACTTGGTGAAATCATCAACTACGTAGTAATGAAATAGATGTTGTGACTAGGAATGGCTTTGAAGTGCTATGAACTGCATGGTTAGCTTCCCACGCAGGTAATCTCCTTGTTTCTTGTGAATAAACGTAATTTAAATGGTGTATCTTCTGTAGTCATTTCAGCTGTGTGCATTTTCATCTGCTTGAAGAACCCTCAAACGTCTTGTACTGAAATATTAGCACTCTTCTACAGCAGTGTGTGATGGAGTTCTCTGTAAAAAAGTATGTGAAGGGTTTTGGTTGTACTTGTGCCCGAAAGTACTGGTTGTCTTGCACATTAAACCTGTACATGTAAATTTTGATGATAATTCTTAAGACAATGAGATTCATAGAAAAGATGAAAATAAATTATTGGAGGCTGCAGTGAACACTAATAGGCTATAGGTTGTTTTCTGCCTGAAACACTGGAGTTGTGTATTTGAGATGCTAGCAAATGGATGAAGGGTGATTTCTGTGTCATTTGTAAGTCATTACAGAGTCAAACTGTCTCTTACTGGGAATCCTAGTCCTTGTTCTGCTGCTGGGTAGCAGCTGACTTCAATTAGAAGTCAAAGGCAGGCAGTGTCTTGATGGATTGGGCCTTAAGTGTCCCAATAGCTGAGCCCATTCAGTTCTGGATTGAGTTCACTCCTGCTTGCAAGAAAGACGATGGATCCGGATTGAGCACTAAAAAAGACATTTAACTACCCTATAGTATCGTCATCACCCTTCTGAATAGCGAGTCCCAGCTGTGCTGGGGTTGGAGGGCAAGTGGGGGTGGCGCTTGGCCAGCTCCACATTTCACAGCAGGGTGGGGAGAAATCGAGCAGTGAGGAGCAGGAGGGAGGGCAGGTTGAGCTGCCCTGCCAGCCCGCGGAAGGTTTTAGTCTCCTGCAAGGAAAATGCGGTGACTGTCAGTGCAAACATATTGCTGTCCTTGCTGCACAGGGTTTAGGAGAGATTAGATTTAGATTGAGGAACGCCCCTGTCGTGTATATCTGCCCGATAAGCTGTGGTTTTCCTCCCTGGGGATTTGCACATTTACTTGTACCTTCTGTGGCCATGCTGTCAGCAGCCTGGTGAACGAATGGGCAGCTCCGGCCAGCTCAAGCCGGAGTGGGTCTTCACTATTTATATGCCCAGGTAAGTAGGGAGAGGAAGGGGAGTGTGTGCACACTGTGCTTTTTCATCTGGAAGCTTCCCAGGGTGGCTGCACGGCGCAGAAAGCCACGTGCATGAAGGAGGCTTCACTGCAAGTTCAGAAGAAGGGACAATATTTGTAACCAAGCCAAAGATAATGGCCCAACCCATTCGCTGGGAGGCCCCAGCTGCCAGGTCCCTCCTGAGCAGACACCACAGTACTCGATGTTCTTGCTGGCCGTTTCTGAGCTAAGACTGCAGAACGCGGGACATCCCCACATCTCTCTGAGGGACCGAGCTGTGGCTTTGCATGCTGTACTAGATCCACTTCTCCCATTTCTTGGTGTCATCAAATATGGGACAGAAGTGATATTTTCCGTGACAATGACTGTAGTAATACACTATGTCCAATAGGTACCCGTGTTTCTCACTCGGGTTGGCTTAAACTGGATGTAGCATGTCTTCCCTGCCTGGGATTCATTCTCACTGCATTCCCCAAGGCAAAGGATTAAAGAAACTGTACCTGACCTGTGCACCCTGTTTTTTTCTCCTAACTAGGATGAAAAATGGTCCTGCCGAGGGAAGCAAGTACTCGAGTTGTTGGGAAGAATCAGCCCTGTAAGACACTAGCTGATTTTAAACGCTTTGCATTAACTGCGTCAGGGTTTTTTAAATGCTAAATGGAAAGTGATCTAAATAGAAACCGGAGGATGAGGGCAATCTCGTTGTTTTGTTAGAGCGCGGGGAAAGAGATATGTGTGTGTGTGTGAGGCTAACTCCTGAAAAGCCCCTCCTTGGTGAATGACAATGGCGAGACAAAAACAAAAAGGTGGTCTCAGAGCTCAGGCTGGCAAATGTGAGGGAACAAAAGACCTGGCCATAACATCTGCTGCCTCCGGCGTCTCCCTGCAGCTCCCGCAGCTCCTCGCTCTTCAAACGCCTAGTCCGCATCCCGCCCTCCCCTCGTCCCACTGCGCTCCCCGGGGGAATCGGGACAGAGGGAGGTGGTTAACCACCTACGGAAGGCAAAAAGCAACAAGGAGCTTAGAGAATTGAAGGTAATGCTGCAAACAAATATTGATTAATGCCGAAGAAGAGAGATTGTTCACCAGCGGAGCCCTGGCTGGCTGTCCCTTCCTTCCGAAAACCGTTTCTTGGGGTCCTCGGTCTCCTACTTACCTCAGCAGCAAGTATTGGAGTTTGTCAGACAGTCGCTGTCGCCTTCATGTCCCTTTCTCTCCTCACAACATGCACATCCCCTTACAGAGTCTCCCTTCGGGTTCTCCTTAATGCACCTAGTGCAAGCCTGATTCTCCCGACACGACAGGTGTTGGGAGACTCAGGCTTTGCTCTCTGCTTTTCCTCTTTTCTGAGCTCATGTAAAACACATCCAGATTTTCAGCAGGACCAGCAACTGTAGGTGTTTTTC